GCTGGAGTGAGCTCTGGGGCTGGAGCCGACGCTGGAGCGAGCTCTGGGGCTGGAGCCGACGCTGGAGCGAGTTCTGGGGCTGGAGCCGGCACTGGAGTGAGCTCTGGGGCTAGGATGAAGGCAGAGAACAGTCATTTTCTCTTCATCCTCCTCCTTGGGTTACGGGGAAACTGGGCAGCCACGGCAAGCCTGCAGAACTCCCAGGAATACTCAACGAAGGGGAGATCCATGCGAGCTAAGGTGGCGAACCGAGCGGCAATTTCCATAGCCACGGGGAAAACAAGGAAAACAAAAAAACTTTCAAAATGAAAAAAAAAAATATGGGGAGAAGAGGAGCCGCTCACTTTCAGTCTGGTCCGGTATTCTGTCACGGTTGCACTACTGAGTGGAGTGCAGAGCAAGGAACGGAATCTGAATCAATCCAGAGAATTTTAATGATAACAAGGAAAACTCATGTAGCACATGTAGACATAAACAATACCGGACGCTGAACTAAAAACAGGGAACGCTATTTAAACACATGACAAGACGAGGGGATGACGAGACACACCTGGGATCAATGGAAATAAACGGGGAACACCTGGAATTAAATCAACATAATCAGGACAGGAACCGGAACCAGAAACTAACCAAATATGGGCATAAACACTGGGACACAGGGAGCACATGGGGAACAAAACACAACACAAGCCTGACAAGTACATTTAAAATGTTTAATGTTTACATTTATAATGTTTTAATCATTTGTCATGCTTTAAAGAACAGTTATTTTGATGTGTTGACAAATGACTTAACTGCAGTTTGTTATTCGACATTACATTTAAAGTTATCAAAATATATTTGAAATGTACTAAACTGCAACTTCGCAAATTTGTAATCACACGTATATTTAAATACTGCTTAAATACATGACATGCAAGTTGCAATAGAAATAACATTCAAGTATATTTTAGTTTACCATAAATGCTTGTCAGTACATTCAGCAGTACACTTTAACCATAATTCAAAGACAACAGAATTATGAAATTACATAAACTTGTCCTACTTAAGTGGGTCCATAAATAAATAAATAAATAAAAGTTCAACTAATTGAATTTAAAATTAATTTAAACTATATATTTTTTTCTTGTAATTGTAAATAATATTCAGTTAAGAGTTTTCTGTTTGCACTTAAGTATGTTTTTTTTTAAATATATTATTAAGAATGAAGTGAACTTCTTTTCACAAGGGGCTGCATTCATGCATTTATTGCTAGATGTTGCTAACATGTTTAGCACCTTTTTGCAAGTTTTAGATTATTGTGCTCTTTAGAGTTGGATGGTTTCAACATTAGAAAGTCCAACTCTAGAATCCACATTAGAAAGAACTGGAGTGAAAACAAATACATTCAAGGACAGCTCTGAATTGGAGTTGTGATCAAAAGCGATATGAGGAGGAGATGAAAGCTTTCTGCTCCGCTGGTTTCTCTGTCCCTGAGTCAGTGAGACAGAGAGCGGCCATCCACTGAGCGGATGCTATGATTACTGTCAGTTCCTCACGTCATGTTCTATTTTAAAGGGGATTTATCATGAAAAACTGTCTTTTTCTTGTTCTTTGAACCCAGTGAAATTGTGATTAAAGAGCATGAGAGAAGGGCGAAATAAACCTTGTCCACGTCTCTCCCACCACTGTCACATCCGTGTTTCAGAGCTCTTTTCCTTTTTTGCGCAAATGACAGCAAACCAGGACTCTAATTATCCATTTTAGATTCATATAAGTAATCACATACGTGAGGTTCATTCGTTTTCACCATCCATCTTAGTAAAAACTACACATACCAACCCTGTATGAATCAGTGGGCCTGATTCAACCAGAAGGAGTCACAGACATCTTCTGTTAATAATTGTATCTCAAACGTTGCTTACACAACTAACTAACTTCTAACATTATAAGTGGCCCTCAGGGAAAAGACTGTGAAAGTGTGAATAGCAACAGTCCCTCAGAGGACAAGAGAAAATGAGTTGACAGTTCACTAAAGGCACACCTTAAGGAAAATGTGCTTTTCATTATTTTCAGAGTGTATAATTGCAGAAAAAAATCCTGTATGTTTGCTTTTATAGAACATCGATAAAGCAACACATTTTGAGCGAAAATTAATAATAAACTGGGTTTTTCTTTTGTTTAAAAATCATATAAACATATGAGGTACGAGGAGTGCCTTTTACCCTGAGTACTGATACAAATACTGAAGTAACATGTTTGGCATAATATCTAATTGAATACTTGTTCAAAACAATCACTTCAGCAAAGTTTGTACGATTTTCTGTTTATTATGATAAAAAAATCTATTTTTGTTCAATTAATATATTGTTCATAAAAAAAAAAAAAATAAGTAAAGATTCAGAAAGCTTTGAAGGAAATCCTATAATATGGCTTTACAGTAGTAACAATAAATATGACATTATATGATATGATTATTATGATATATTTTTTTTAATATGATGGTTTCATTATAAATATGGTGATTATCACCTAACACCTAACTTTATAAATGATATTGACCATCTGAATCTAACCGTGTCATGTCGACAAATGGAAACGTCAGCCAGTAATTAATTATCATGTTAATAATTGTGCCTTTAGCCCCAACAGCAGGGACGCTTCTTACCCCAAATACCAAACATATTCTTCAGTTATTGAAAACATTTTCTTTAATTACGTTGAACAAAGCTGAAAATCATTAACAAGACCTTTGTCTTGCCAAATTAGAGCTGAACCCACTTTGCATTGCTGCCCACGATTGCATCAGGCCAAATTTCCATGAAATACAGTTTAGGAAAGTGCTGCGGTGAGCTTTTGTGCCATCTAGGAAAATCAAATCAAATTTGCATTCCCCCCCCCCAGTTGTCCTGTCGTGTGTAAGATTCACCTGAGAGCAGCTGCAGGTTGGGCAGAGGCTCTGACAGAACTCCTCGGCACTGCTCCTCCACCGGCAGAGGAATCACCATTAACCCATCGGCCAGCTGCGGAAAATCCTTGATGAAGTTATTATCCCTGAAATTCAAATATAAATGAGGATAAAACATCAGACAGATATTAGACAGTTTTGTTGCTGTTGAGTTTGGAATGATGATACATATTTCTTATTAAAACAGGATGGAACATATTGAAGAGCTATTCCATATTTTTAATAAACAACTCTCTATATTAAGACACAACCGTGAACTATGACATTGCTAGTCAGACGCAGGTTGTGATGAGGAAGGAGCATTTTGCTGGACAAAACTTTAGATAGTAGTGATGGGAAGTCTGATTAATTTCTGTGAACTGGTTCTTTGGGACAGTTTGTTTCAATGAACCAGTTCCAAAAAATAAAAACACTTCTACAGTTTGTTTACGTAATCAGGCAATGACTTAACCTACTGAATAAGCCATGCTATTATTAAAGCAACCGATAATGATTTAAAACACAGATATTTTACATGTCCAAAGCATATAAGTGAATAAACTAGTCTTAAACAACTAATCTGTTTACATAATTCATGAGGAACCATAAAGAAGTCAACTGCTCGATTCAAGCATGCTCATCATTTCTCCGTGGACATGAGCAAGTCCAATACGGTTTCCCCGGTTCAGTGCACATGCGACTCGAGAAGCGCTGAAACCATTAACCAACTAATGACTCAACTATTGCACTACTGTTGACTCAACTACTGCCATCCAGTGTTGGGGGTAATGCATTACAAGTTACGTAATCAGATTACTTTTTTTCAAGTAACTAGTAACGCATTACTTTTTTAATTTCGTATCTGAGTTACTTTTTCAAATAAGTAACGCTAGCTACTTTGTTTCCCATGTACTGACTGACAGCTCTCGTGTTGCCATGATGAGAGAAATCGGGAGTAAGTGCCGTGGCGTTGTGTGTTACTGTAGTTCTAGACTAAATATGAACATTATTTACTCATCTCGCTGCACAAAAACAGATTCAGTATTCCTCGAAATGAATAAAAACAGTCAAATGCAAACTCAGAATATTATATAAACCTGCAATAATTAGATATGTTAAATAAGACAAATATCATTTATGTATTTAATCCCATGTTATTAACCAAAGTCTTTGCTACTGACCTTCAATTATCTAATTCAACCATACTAATAAGCAAAAATGACACATTTGTGTTTCATTTGTGTTATTGCTGAATAGAGTTGAACGTTCTTCTCCTGCGTCATATTCTTCATGCAATTTGTTTGAGCTGCGCCCTCTACTGTACAGACGTTAATTTACGTTTCCTTCAGCCTGAGGCGTATTAATTTCACTTTTGTTGTGAAAAGCGCTTTTACATTTGTAAAATAAATGTTTTATATTAAAAACAAACAAGCAAGCCCTGCCCAGATTTTAAAAGTAACTCAAAAGTAACGTAACACATTACTTTCCATAAAAAGTAACATAATTAGTTACTTTTTTAGGGAGTAATGTGATATTGTAATGCATTACTTTTAAAAGTAACTTTCCCCAATACTGCTGCCATCAGATCACTCTTTCCAAAATGTTTTATTTGTTGCATGTTGTTCGGAAACATTTTCTCCCCATTAAGGAAACCCTCGGCAGAAAGTTTGCATATCCAACACGTCCGAGAAATACCATTCAGAACTGATTCAAAAGAATAATTTGTTCATGAACTGGACATCACTATTAGAAAACAGCCCTGATTCATTTAAATGAGTCCAAGTCCTACATATTTCAATTCATTTTCCAGAATAGAAAGACTTCATATCTGCTAAAAGTCTATTTGATCAATTTTTAAGAGGGCACTACCATACAGATCACCTCAATGCTAACAAATAGGGCCAGGCCATAGGTTTGTGGGGCCCTAGGTGAGATCATAGAAATGGGCCCCACCTGTGTAAAAATTAAAACCACTGCAAACATGACTAATGCTTTATTTTCTTTCTTATACGCAATAATATACATTTTATTTACTTTTGTTTGTTTGTTCAGTTTTGTATTTTTAGAAATGGCAGCTGAGTAAATGCCAGCATATTGTTATCCTCATGTAATGGTATTTAAACAATGTCTCTGCGCACGTCTTAATGTAGTTATATTATACACTCTTTACTCAGCCCGTATGACTGTGAGGTGTTTTGAAAAGCATTTTGTGATTTTGTTGAGATTTCCATGTTTTTGGCAATTTAATGAAGTGTAATTAGCCACCAATTATAATACTTCTTCAAACATTTAATCTCTTTAATTGAGCTTTCTCTCTATGAAACATCAATAGCAAACAAAATTTGCATTAGCGTCCATCTGTAAAAGACATATTTTATTGAATCATTCTCAAAACAGATAGTTCAGAAATCCCATAGCCATTGTAAAATGCACGGGTCACGGGGTCACCGGCTCCTCCTGAAAACTGGTCCTCGGTGAGCGCCACTGTACATGCCTATCACTTAATAATTCATATGATTTATTTTCACTAAATTTCATTGTCATTTGAAAAGTCGTTGTTAATAGTTAGCTAATAGTGAGAATTGGTCCCCAAACTAAAGTGCAGCTATTTTTTTAATAAGCAAACTTATTAAATTCAGTTTAATTAAGAAATAGTTAAACCACAAATATTTATCATTTACATTTTTGGGTGAACTCTTCCAGTAACATTTGTAACTAAAGTGTTTATGAAAAAGCCATGCCAGCTAGTGATGGAAAGTCAGTCTGATGACTCACACACCATGGGCCCTATTTTAACGATCTAAGCGCATGGTCTAAAGTGCACGGCGCAATTGCGTCCGAATCCACTTTTACTAGTTTAAGGACGGGAAAAATGGTCGGTGGTCTAAAAGGGTTGTCCCTATTATTTTAATGAGTAATGGGTGTGTTGTGGGCGTAACGTGCCATAAACCAATCAGAGTCTCATCTCCCATTCCCTTTAAGAGCCAGTTGCGCTCGTGCCATGGCGGATTTGCTATTTACACAGCAGAATTTGCGAGTGCAAGACAGAACGCGTCTCCAGAGATGAAACGGAGCTATTAGCGAGCAAATAGGTAGCCTAATTCTGATACATGCAATGACTATCCATTATGACATGTAGGCATTTTTATATTTATGTAGCCTACACAATAATAATCTTTTACATTGCAATCCTTTAATTTTTAATATTTGGCTGCTGTGCGTCCCTGTGTGTGTAATAAGCAGAGTGTACACGAGCTGTGGACCCGCCTATACTAACGCGCTCTTTAAATAACAAAAAAACTACTGCGCCATTGACTTTAGACCATGTTTTTGTTGGTCAATGGCGCCGTTTTCAGACCAGCACGCCCATGGGCGCACAAATGGCCGCAAATTAATTTTCTATTTAAACAACGTGGCGCAGGACGTGAAAATGACAACTGTGTCGGGCTGAAACTAGCAAAAAACACTTGCGTCGCGCCTGAAGCCACATTGCGCCGGGTGTATGATAGGGCCCCATGTGTTCAAAGCCAGCAGACACTCTGAAAAGAACAGCCCCGTACATCCTCAACCAGTTGAGTAGATCAGTTAGGAAAGTGACATAGGTTTGAATACTGGATATTCAGAGCTTAAATCATGGAAGCTCCTGTATTGTTCTCATTTCAGTATCACTCATTTTCTGTGCTCTCCTGAGTTATTTTCTAATACTACGAATGTGTAAACAAATATCAAGATCTGTAGTTAAAAACCTTGTAGTTATTTAAAATGACTTTTTGCTATCTGTGTCTAGGGATGACAGCAATATGCAATATAAATATAACTTTATCGCTATTTTGGAAGTCAATGGATTTTGATATACACTAGCAGTGGGATTAAGAGAAAAAATTGAATTTTTGGCAGAAATAGTACAGACTGAAATCATGAAAGAGGTTAAATTAAGTGAAATGTTCGGTGCGATAGCTGATGAAACCAAAGGTCTAAGGAAAAAGGAACCAGTTTCTTCAGACTTAAGATTCGTTGCTGTTCTTCAGTGGCTTTACACTTTCATATCTGGCTCACATGTACACCAAAGGTGGCTTGAAATTCAGAAGGACAAATCAAATCAAAACAAATCAAATCAAATGGGAAAAAGGGAAAATAAAATAAAAAAAAGAATAAAATATATATTTTTTAATTTAATTTAATTTAATTTAATTTAATTTAATTTAAAAAATGGTGAAAAGGGGGAAAAAAATGCCCCTTAATGGAAAAGTTCATTCCTGATCCTGTTATCCAGCCCATCGCAATCTGTAAATTGTTGGAAAAAGTAGAAAGGAGACAGCAGATCCTGAGCAGCAGGTTACATGGATCCATAATTACTTCGTCAAAAAAGGAAGCCTCTAAGAAAACATATATTATATGCAGTGATTGACACATTCATGGGAAAGCTGTTGAAAGCCGTTTCTCGAACATAAATTGTGAAATTATGCACAGAATGCACAGAATCCAAGCACTTCACTCTAAAAGCAGCACTTGCTTACAGTAAATAAGGACCAAATATTGAAGAGTCAAATAGTGAAAAACTTTGAAAAACTTGTTCGTAACAGACCAAAAGGGGTTTGAAAGGGAGAGGGAACAAAATATACTCCTCTCATCAAATTTGTGGTAGTTCTGGAGCCATTGCAGGAGGTATTTCATGAGCTTTTCAGGCTGTGTAAGATTGCCATTGCAACACCTGCAGGTACTGCTGATCAAAACCCAGAAGCAACTGAGTCATCTAGAAATCTTCAGCTGTAACACTTGGGCTTGAGGGTTTTGGTTTGGATCGAGACAACCTGAGAGCACAGGGAAATAGGGTTCAGGAACACATAAAACAACAGACAAGCAATGGTCAGAACATGACGAATCAGTCCAAGCTGTAAATCCCACAACAGACTCAAACAGGCAGGATTGACAGCACAGAGGGTCAGTCCAAAACACACATCCACAACAGAATAATCCTGACAGGGAACAGAGCACAAAAACAAAGGTCCGAAACAAGAGCGATCAGGTCCCAAAGTAAGCGGTGTCAAAACACAGACAGGCCACCATTAGATAAAAGCCACTGGCTATGCTTGCAGAGACAAAACAA